CTGAAGTGCCTTTTTTTCCCTCCACCTGAACCACTCCTCATGTTACTCTCTTATCTCTATTAAGGTAGCGCGACTCAGGGTTGTGAATGACCACAGTCACCAATTCTTGTCATGTGTCTTGCTCATGTATGTCTGATCTCTGAATTGTGTGTACTGAAACTCTTAATTTCTCTCTGGGATTAATAAAGTATTGATTGATTGATTGCTTATTGTTATTAATGGTATGCACACACCTCACTTCTGATTGGCTAAAAGAACATGTTCCGCCATGTTAAAAAGTCACTATCACTAAGACAGTTTGTTCTCTCGCCATGCTAAAAAATAAAAAATAAAACACATTACTGTGGGTGGGCGTGAGCCAAGATGGGTGAGGCTAATTTATAGAGTGACATCACAGTGTGAGGATTTTCAAATCCTAGTATTTCTCCATTTATTTTCCAACAGAAGCTAAAGCAGGATATAGGTGTAGAAGACTGTTTTCATGTTCAGCCTGCAAAACCTCAGAGTGACAGAAAGAGTTCAGAAAAAAAAATTCAGTCAACTACTCCTTTAAAGCCATAAAAAATACATTTTTTTCACTTCTCGAAAGATGCTGGTAGTAGATAATCCATCAAGTCACACGTATTGACATAATCTACATAGATAAGAAATTGCATCTCTGCAATAAACATTTTTTGACAATTACCAGATGCTTTACACTGAAACCGTGTGTGATTTCCTGTCTAGCCCGTAACCTGTGGAAATTGATGCATCCTAGAAACAGGTCATGGCATAGACCTGATCCTATCTTTAGCTTCTGCTTCTGGGGCGTGCCTGAAATGTTTGTGCCACCGCCAGTTTGGATCAACCTTATAGATTATAATGGATTCTAGTCAAAGCCGCGGCATTACGCCGCCATTCCTTGCCATTAATACCTCTACTGTGGTTTTGGCTTGGCTCAATATTCTTTGTGTTAAGTTTGTGTTAAGTGTGTTAAGTTGCAAACTGACAAATGTGCTAAAAATAACACTTTGCTTGAACAGCCTCTTCTTTTTCAGTGTGAGACAGACATGGAATATCAAGGTCAAGGCTGACAAAACTCCAACTTTCCTAGCTGGAATTCTGACTCTTTGGAGTTACCTGTTGATTTTTTTTTCAACTTGAAAGATAGAAATGTCAGCTTCTGAGAGTAAATACAACGGAGCACATTTACTGCGTTACGGCGTAGCAAATCTGTCTGATTGTAGCAATAAGTGTGATGCAAGGTTGAGTATGCCAGCCATTAGTTTGACATGTAAAATGTGTCACGATGCCAATCACGAAGCTCCACGATCCAATAATCTAAAACGATTTTCTTGCAAAATTTTTCTTGAAAAGAACTTTATATCAGCCCACTGATGGGCTTTCCAGTGTTTTAGGCTTATTATCCATGTGTTTGAATAACAGCAATGTAATCAAATTAAATCAATCAAATGTACTTTATTAATCCCTGAGGGAAATTAGAGTTTCAGTACACACAATTCAGGGATCCTGTTTCCCCCAGCGAGAGCAGCCATCTACGGCGCTCAGCCACTGTAGCCACAGGTGGGAGGGAGATCTCGGGAGAAGCGCAGAGCACATTGACTCCTGCAGGTTGATGACCTCGCCAGGCTGAAGTCCACCAATCCGAAGGCGGGGGTGGGGGGTGGGGGATCGGATTGTCACTGCATCTGTCTGCATTCCTTCGTGGGGGTTTGTTGCTAGCCTGTCAAGGCTACCAGGGCGTCAGATTCGGATAACAAGAATTTGTTTGAGTCAGGCTGAGATAATTTTCCTCTCTGCCTTCAGTCTTTAAACTGATCATTCCAGTCCTTCAGTGAAGCCATTTTGGGTTTTTAAACCTGTCCATACCGTCCGGTGACCCTCTCCGAGATGACATACATTTTGCGCATTAATACCGGTATCGCACAACACTGTCCAGCTTACGATTCACCTCGAGTAACGTCTTAGTCTGTGAGGTCTCCACACGGACGGTGCTTTCCGTGGGTGCGGGTCGCCCTCCAATCGCTCCTGTCTTCCCAAATTTCCAGAAAACCAGATATCCTCCCACTCCAATCAGGAGAAATCCAGTGATCATCAGGCCGAATATCCACACGTCTTTGTTCTAACGTGTTCTTAATACTGGTTTTATTTTATTTTTTTTTCCCTTGCTTTTGCTTTTTCATCACAGCCTCCGTTGTGTCTCCTCCTGCCCTTGGCACAAAATAAAAGCTAATTGCTTGTCAGTAAAATAACAGGGCTGTTTCTGCTTGTGAAAGACATAGATGTCATTCAGGTCAGCAGCTCCCCTTGGGACGGTGATTAGGTGAAATTAGAGGGATGCTACCGTCGCTCGTGGCTGACAACCTGATAGGTGTCTTCTCCTGTAACTTCATCAATTCAGGTACGAAGGTTGAAATACATCAAAGCCAAGACAATACAGGCAAACTAGCTTTGGTTAAAGAGCTGACGATTGGCCTCAAATGTGTGTGTGTGTGTGTGTGTGTGTGTGTGTGTGTGTGTGTGTGTGTGTGTGTGTGTGTGTGTGTGTGTGTGTGTGTGTGTGTGTGTGTGTGTGTGTGTGTGTGTGAAGCTAGAGTGGAGTAACGCACATTTTCAAACAGGTGCTGCTTTTTGGTGGGAGGGGAGTATACATGAAAGGATTGAGCTGGAGTTTGATGTGATAATGAAGTGTCTTCTTTAGTTTTCCATCAGCTGTTTTGTTCAAACCACTCACCTGCATCTATTTGTCCAACTAATGTTTTGGTAGGCTTCTACTACTTGCTGCTCCTGAGGTGGGAATAACATCTTCTTCATGTTTTGTTCGAGCTTTTCTCACTTTGAAGCTTGAAACAGTTGGCGATGAACAGGGCGTTGTAGCTTTTTATGCTCATGTAACTGAACATTTGCACATCGGTGTATTGTGCTGCCCTTACCAACCCCACGTTGTCATATCAGAGAAACCCAGAGATTTGAGACTAGTCATGGTTGGTGGAGGTGAGCAGGAGTGATGCTACGGTTAGCGCACTGGAGCGTTTAGCTGTGCACGGGAAGATTTACCGGCCCGTGAAGCCATAAACCTGCAATTACAAACCCTAACATCTCTGGCACAGGCAGCCCATACAACACAGTTCTCCTCTGGGCTCAAGGATTTAAGCCTCACAATCAGTCAAGCGTGACTTAAGAAGCTAATTGCACAAGAGTGACACACATACTCGCACAACATCCTCACGGGAGGAAGACGGGTGTTGGAGGTGGAATTTTGTTTGAAATTCATCAAATTTTAATCCAGTGCATGCATTTCCATATTTCCATTTTTAGCTCTACGCTTCTAGCATACACTTCCTCTCTGCATATAATTTTGGATCTATTTATAGCACCAACCACTTCTTACCTAACACTCACAGAGGAATATGTTCCCTTTCTTGTCGCCACAGCCCTCCTATCAGGTCTGGTATTCAAAGACACGTGTCTCATGGTAGATGGGCTGTCAATGAATCACGCCGTTTCTGCCACAGCTGGTAAATTGACTGGTTGAAGCAGGAAACAGATGAGACAGAAGCCAGGCGGAGTCAGAGATAAGATTCAGGATTCATACTCTCCCCCGCCTCTCTATAATGAATCAGTGTATATACTTAGAGCAATCTGCTCATCTAAAACTACCCTGCAATTGCTCTGTCTTCTCTGCAGTGCCCCACCAACACTGCCACTTGCACCTCCCCTATTTTTCCTAACCACCCTCTCAGAAAAAGGTAATTGCTCTTACCTGAGACACTGTAATGGATGCTGGAAGAAGTATTGACCGCTGTTGGGTTTTGATTAAGGGGCTGTAGGGCAGAACACGTCTTTAATGAAACTGACGAATCAGCATTCTCTTGGCTGGTGCATCAAGGACTGGATGCTGTGCTCTGTGACCAACAGGCACCTTGATTAGCCCCTGATTCCAAGCGAATCCAAGGATGTGCCAAAGCTATTGAATTAAAAGCAATAAACGTGTCCATTAATATGACCTAACCTGGTTTATGTAAATGTTCTCTGGAGGCTTTAGAATCATTAAAGATGTGGGCATTTGCTCATGGTAAGCTCTCTGCACATATTCACAAACAAACTCAACCATTCATCTTGTTGCTCACAAGCTGAAACACTAAGACACTCATTAATAAACTCAATCCCCTTCATATGCAGAAGGTCAGCTTTTATCAGTTACATTTTTAGCATGAGGGATCACTCGCATTAACTTCTCATCTTCTTCTTTTATTGCCTTTTTGCTCCAGTTAAAAACTGATTGCATCTCGGACAGAGATGAAAGGGAAACAGCTAGCTGTTCTTTGAGCATGCAAATGGACATAATCTACAAGGCGAGTATTAGCATTCTAAAAGACAGCACGGCTATGATGAACACCATTTGCCAAGGCTTAATGCGATAGCCGGGTAAGATGATTAACTGTGAATCCATTTGATCAACCACAAGCGCTTTCTCAAACAACCAGCTGCCTGGTGTTTGGGTAAAACTTCCCTCGGATCTGTTGGGGAATGGATGGATGTGTCAAATCAGAGTCTCTAAGTCAGAATGGAAGCCAGACAAACAGTGTGCTTTGAAGTGATGGACATCAGACATGATTGTGTGTGTACTATTTGTCATCCTCTCTCTTGTTTAAACCTCACAATAGAGTACAACTTGAAACTCAAAGCAACTCGGTTTGCCTGAGAAGCTGGCGTGCCCTGGGGCTGCATCCTATTGACTTAAGTAGTTTAGGTAGTGGGCCTCTTCACCTTGTTTTTGCACATCGACCCCAACGTGCATGCTGATAACTGGCTCTCCAAATGTGATGAAATTTCTCATTCTTTCATTTTGACCTTTATCCTCAATACAACAGCATTACTTGTTGTATTTGTATTCCCAGATATTAGAAAATTTACTATACCTTATCATGCCATATGGCCAGTGGAACTATGGTTTTTCATTGACACCTATCTCCTCTGTGTGTCTGGTTTTCTGACAGACCTAGATGACCCTGTGGTTACAGTGCACCAGAGTACAGGAGAGGCCAAGGAGCAGTTCTATTATGAGAAGACTGTGTTCCTACGCTGTGTGGCCAATTCCAACCCGCCTGTCCGGTATAGCTGGCACCGTGGGAGAGAGGTCCTGACGCAAGGCTCGGACAAAGGCGTGGAGATCTATGAGCCCTTTTTCACACAGGTAAGACAGAGGCAAAATGGCATAGAAATACATTATGTGTATATATGGGGGGGGGAAATAAATAAATAAATAATATATATATATATATATATATATCCCAGAATGCAACACATAATCACGTGTGATCCATATATATATGTGCCTTGTGTGTGTGTGTGTGTGTGTGTGTGTGTGTGTGTGTGTGTGTGTGTGTGTGTGTGTGTGTGTGTGTGTGTGTGTGTGTGTGTAATGCCTAAAGTTATTGCACGTTTATTCCAAGTAGCCTAGTTATGGTGTTTTACTTTTTCTCTGCTGTGTTTTTGAGTGAGTGTATATACATATTGTGTGAATGCATATAAAATATGTGTGAAAATGTGTAATGAATATGTAAAAATTAGCTCACGCATTAACAGATATTTGCTTGTAGAACTTTTGTGAACACTTCTAAATATTTCCTGAAGTCATCCAAGAGGGTTTACGTTTGCTAAAGGAATGTGAAACTATCAGCTTAGCCTAAACTTAGAAGTAGACAAATGAGTTGTTCGGATAAATAATAAGCTAGCATTTTATGCCAACAACTTATAACAACTACCACTGACCACACTCAGGTGTGTCTCTCTCACTTTTTTAATATTTAGGATATTTATGCTGGTCACAGTCTGATATTATCATTATAATCACATTCATGCCAAAGTCAAGAATATAATTTAGACTTTGATACTTAAAATACATTAACAAAATGTTTATTGTCAATTTGCCTTATTATATGCTCAAAAATGAAGTTGTCATTTGAGTTGAACATGGTTCATTATGCCCTACATCCTTTTTTAAACTTACACCTGACCTTTAAATTTATTCATGAAGTTATTCCTTCATCAAATCTGGTAGCCTGAAAAGCCATCCTATATATGTAGGCCTATCAGGAAGTGCTCTGGAGTGGTTATCCTCTTATAAGTTTCACTCTCTTGGAACCATGCTCCATATCCCACAGGAAGTCGGCCATTTTGGTCCAGGTATGCCATTAATCTTTGCACACTTCAAAGGTACGTCAACCCCACAGCGCCCTTTTGACCTATTGCCTTTATACTTTGGCTGAATACGCTTAAGACATAGCGGGGAAAACTGAACCTACAGATTTTCTTAAAGTCTAACAGTGTAGGCGTGGCTAAACCTCAAACATTGATCTTTCACCACACGATGTTTTCCTCTCAAAGCTCCCAAATCGACTCCTTTAACCTAATCAACAGCAATCTCTGGCAAATAGCAGTAGACATGTTTGGGGTGACTTGGTGTCTAATACTGGTAGGTTTCAAATAAGGGCAGCGCTTTGGGGGCATGGCAAATTTTGACATCATGCCATAGAATTACATTTGCCTCTCATTTCCTCAGCTGTGATGTTATCGGTACAGCAGTTCAGCTGATCGATACAAATCCAAACCTCAATAGGTATTAACATGAAAGTCTGGTGGGTGATGCATAGTTTTTGCACTAGCGCCCTCTAGGTCCCATGAAAATGTCAGCCCCAAGTCATCCATTGACTGAGGATTGTGAAATTTTGTACAGTTATGTAGTGTCTTAGGACCTACAAAAAAGTCTCTTGGAGCCATGCTCCATATCCCACAGGAAGTCGGCCATTTTGGTCCAATTGCGCTACAGATTCTCTTTAGGAGCTGCAATTTTTTGCTAATGTAAAACCTTTATAGTGGGAACTGAGCAAAGCATTACAGACTGTTTAATAGAAGGTGGGTTATTGTCCCACCTAGTAATGAGTTACAGCGTTTGTTGGCAGGCTAGGAGGAAAGGTTGAGTCAGATTGAGGTAACAGCTCACAGTTATCGTGGTTGAACGCACGTTGAGGCGTCTGGCGCACATTGGCACTTGTGTGCCATCGGTCGCTGGGCGGTGGGTTGGGGGAGCGTAGGGGATGGGGTGGAGGGGGTGCGGAGGAAGGGAGAGCTGCTTCACTGCGAGGGCCAAACAACGCTGCTTGCAACTTTAGTTATTCTTCCTATTGTTGAAAATGTTTGCTCTTGTGATGCGCCTCGTGATTTTTATCTTGAGAGGAGCTGTATAAAATATGTTATAAAAGATTATCTCCACATGCTATTGGACAATGAACAACGCAACATACTCACCATTATGGATGTCAGTCAATGGAGCAGTTCACATTACACCGCCAAAGAAGTCGCATCTTTTTTCTAAACAGAGGCGTTAAGTACCTCTATCTGTAGATCACATCTAAATGGTCCAAAGTTGATGCAGAAGCCATTTTAAAATGCATCATGCTGCTCACCAAAATGATAGAGCCGAACAAGATAGCCAAAAATGTCCGTTATGCAGAGCTGCGGCGGCAATAAGCTGTTGTTGGTACTCTAGTCTTGTGTCTTTCATAAGCCATTATCCAAGCCATTAATAGTGCTGATTTTGTCCACATACCAGTCACTGATGTCTTTATTTGTATATTATGTATCCTTTTAGGGATTTTAACATACTGTTGAACACATCCTTTCTTCCAAAACTGCTTCTTCTCTGCAACATACTGTTGATTTTTACAGTTTGTATACACTCGTAAGTAGGGATGTGTATCGGTGAAATTGTGGCGATACAATACGTATTACGATACAGGGGAGTCGATACAATATATCACGATATATTGCGATACATTCAGTCAGACGATATTGGCGATTTTCTAGTCTAAATTTATTATAGGAAAATTCAATAAACAGTACAAACTGATACTTAACATGTTTAACCATAACAGAGGGACTTACATTTCAATGGTGGAAACAAAACCTATTATGCACTGCTGCCAGCTAGTGGTCGGCATTTGAATTGCACCACAAGAAAAGAAAATACACAAATGTTTCCATGTAAAATCTTCCAAAAATTAGCTACGCAACTTTTGAATATCGATACATTTTTGCACACAAAAATATCACAATATATTGCAATATCGATATTTTCGATACACAGCTTTTGAATATCGGCAAAATATCGCAGGGGAAAATATCACGACATATTGCCGTAATCGACATTTTCTTACATCCCTACTAGTAAGGCCATCGACTTGTCTGCACAAATCCCAGAATGCAACACATAATCATGTGTGATCCAGAGCCCTAATTACTTTAAATCGCACATATTTAGGTAAGAGCTGAAGTATTTACACCACAAACAATGACGAGCTCGGTCTGCAGTTGTTGGAGGAAACAATGAAAGATTGTTCACCCACAGTCAGTCACAATTTCTTCTTAACAAATCAAAACATCCTACAAAGTGAACATACTGCATGAATAAAAGACTAATTACAGTTGCTTTATTTTCATTAATCTGTTGGTGTAGAGAACAAAAAGTGTTATTTGTTGTAAAAGCCCACCTCACGCTCAACTGCCCTCACAATGGCACAATAAAACTTGTCCTAATTAACCCTCTGAATAGATACAGAAGCTTCCACAAACCCATTTTCATGGTTTACATGCATATTGAGTGACTAGATTTCCTTTACAGTGTGGAAATTGAGAAGCTTTGTTCCAAAGGGATTTTCTGCAGCCAACAAAGAACTGATTGAGACTGTTTTCTCGCTTGAGAGTGAATTGTAGCTTTTGAATTGATTGAGTTGAATGTAATTTGCATTCGGCATCTGCAAGAATGCAAATCAATGACTTAAGAAAAAAGAACAAATGGGCATAAGATTTAAAGAAAGAGAAGTAAAACTGATGTTTGGCCAAATGGGCAAAGATGGCTAGAAACTAATGAAGTGGGTGCGGGAGAGAAGAGAAGCTGCACAACTCACTTCCAAATACAAACTCTTCCCTTTCTGCTCCTCTTTGTAGCTTTTTCTCCTTTCCGTTTGCTTCCCTATTGCCCTCTATTAGAGCTGTAATTGGGTCTGAAAATTATAGCACGACCTAAAATTCAGAGATTCAGATTGTGTAGGACCAAAACCTCAAATAAATCCTGGCTAGTAATTTGCTCACACAAAGATGCTATTTTTCCAACCATATATCTGAACATTCCTAAAAAATCTGCAGACAAAAGACATGATATGTCATAACAGACCATAATAAAAAGCCACAGGGTCAAGTCGAGTCCAATGTTCTCCATTTGGGTCTCCGTTTAGTCAGGGGGATTTGTTGTTAAAACAGACTTTATTCCTCCCTCCTGCCATGATTCTTCATTCAAGTTTTGCTTGTGCCCCTTTTTTTAATCCAGGCTTGCAAATGTTTTATATTCCCAGTGATGTTGTAGAAATGCAGCGGTGGCAGTTCAAACTGGTTACAACAATAAAATCACTGCCCCCAGATGTGGGTTTGTCTGTAAAAAAAGGCCTCCTCTTTCTGCTGTCACTAAAGGCTGATTCACGCTTCTCTGTCAGCTCTGCAAGGGACAGACACGCATGGATTGACGGAAATGTTTTGCTCTCATACTTCTCCGTCTCCTGGGGAGCGTTACAAAGCAATTCCCCAGCAGGACAACAGAGGGCGTAGCGGAGTTCTGTGGTATCCTGTCATGTATCTGGTCCAAGATAGTGTGTTCATATTGTGTTTTTTTGTATATAAGAGACTTTTTAGCACTGACATATTTGTCTCTCATCCTCCTCCACCTCTTCATGGGCTCGCTACCTCTAAACCCACGTTTCCTGGCATTTCCGTCCACAAATAAAATGCTTGCTGCGCATCTTTTCACTCCTCCAGTCACGGGGGAATTAAACGTTCATATTTTAGAGTTTTTTTTCGCGAGGTATTCAAGCTTCTCCGTGTTTGCCGCTAGTTATTCTCGGCTCTCTTTATGTTTTTGAGGGCGCAATGACGGCGCTGTAGATGATAGCGGTGCCCTGACCAAGAACAAGAAGAAGAAGAAGAAAGTATCATATCTATAGCGTCTCTCAAGATAAAAATCACGAGGCGCTTCACAAAAACAAAAAATGTAAAAATATAAAAAAGAATTTATAAAATGGTTAAAATTTTTTTTGGAGCAAACCAATCACAAGCTTGCGTTCTCCAGCTCGTTCGACAGATGTT